CTTCGAGGCGAGCAAGGCACGGTCCTTGGGGGACAATTTGGATCTGGATCCGATCGCTGCTGCCAGCTTCTAGAATGCCTGGGTGACAGCGGGAGGAGGGAGGGGAATAACCAGGAAAGCGGGGGGGGAGGGAGGGAGGGAGGGGGATGAGTTTGCCAGACAGGGCCACAAGCCGAGAACGTGCAGCCACACAAACAAGCCAACAGAGGGGGGAAATAGCCCAAGACACTTGAGAGTGAGGCTAATTAATGAGAAAAAAGAAGAAGGTTACCTTGGTTGGGTTTGACGAGGTATCGCTTGGGCTGTGTGGTCTTCACTTTGAAGGCCACAGGCTGGGAGCCTGAGGCAAAGAAGAGGGGCGTGTGAGTTCGCAGGAACAGAGCATAGCCATCGCCAATCAACTACGACAGGGACCTTTACCGTCAGTGGTGACAGAGGGACCATTGCAAGGGTGCATGCAGGGCGGGTGATATCTCATCCCCTACATCCAACCCGCAGATTGCCCTCCCTTACTCCTTGTGAACCCAGCATTGCTTCACAAAACCCAAAAGCCCTCCACTTTGTCCCTTCCCCCACTCGTCTGGACTACGTACTCGTGTTCTGGACGTGGATGACTGTCCGCGCCGACTCTTGCGACGACAAATTGATGACAATGCGGTCCGCCGGCTCAAATTTTAAGAGAGCCGTCATCTTTTTCTTCTCCGTGTCCTGTGGGAACCGTGCAAATGTGGCAAGCGGGTGCCAAAGACTGGCGTAAGAGAACGCGATCGACGCAAAATGAAGGGCATACAGGGCAAAGAGGGAAAACGACGCAGGAAGGAAAGAGGGAGGGTCATCGGGAGCACATTTTTCCCGCTGCGTCCTCGTCCCCCCCCTCGTGACCCCTTCCTTTAACGCCACCACGGCCGTACGGCCCACCCAACCAGCACGTCCCCACGCCCGCGACACGATTGTGCGGTGCCAGCACGACGGAAGGCAAGGAGGCCTTTCGATGCGCGTGTCGCGGGGCCTTTACCTCGATCTTCTGGTCGGGGGAAGGACCGTAAAGAGGACGCCAGAGACAACGGCGTATTCAGGGACGTGGGAAGACGTGCCAAATGTCGCTAACCCAGACACAGGCGATGCCTTCGCCCGGCCATGGTATCAATCCCGTTTCTCAGGCAGGGGTCTAAGGGGCGCATTTCGAGGGACGACGTGTCTTACGGCTGGTGTTTTTTTCGTAATTCGGGGCGGGGGGCGGGATATGCCATTATGCGTATCCAGCCAGCTGGGAGGCTGCGACGTTCGCAGAGGGCATTATGTCGGCTTGGCGTTTTTCCTTGACTCCAGCGTGACATACAGAAAGCACCTTAGGCCGTCCGAGGACGTTTGGGTGTCCTTGGGTCATGTAGGGGGGTCTACGCAGTGTCAAAGGGGGAACGGGGTGACATTTCCCCCCATTCCCAGCGTCTCCCCCTCCCGCCCCGCATGCCAGATCACCATGTAGCACGTCCATCGTGAAAATGAGTGTTAAAACGCGTTTTTGCGAAGACGTACAGGGAATTCTTCAGCGTGTGCACGTCTTTTCATACCCGAGTTCGCTCGTGCATGTCTTAAAGATGCTTTTCTTTCCATTTTTAAATACAGGTTGTCATGCTGCCCAAGAGCGCCGGTCACTCGGTGATGAAAAGGGCAGGATATCCAGCGAAAAGGATAGTCACGACACACGGAGAGAGGACCGCAGCTGGCGTTAGCTTGGTCGTGCGAGCTTTGTTTGCTGTTTCACGACCAGAAACACGGAGTAATGCCGGGGTGGTGGGTGCTTTTGACGGACGAAGACAGCACAGGCGACGGAGTTTCCCTTCAGGGCAGGATTTATGTCCGTCTCTCCCGTCACATAGAATGCTGAGAAAGCGTGCTCGTGGCGGCGTTTCTTCCCAATTCGTTTACGGTCGCCCCGTGCTCGCATCTTTCTTCTCCTCCTCCTCCTCCTCCTCCTCCTCCTCCTCCTCCTCCTCCTCTCCTTTTCCTCTTCCTCAACCCCGCGAAATGCGGCGGACGAAGCCAGACGGACGTTCTTTGCACAGTTGTGCTTTGGGAACGTGGTGGCGGCACGATTGCAGGCAGAAAAAGAGGCGATAAAGGTGAGTGATGAGGAGGGCGATATCGAGGAAGGGGGGGCAGATGGACGGCACGCATCTCCCTGAGGCAGGACAGATGGCCCCGTCCGCTGCTCGCGTGGAAGGAGGGAGGAAAAGGCTCAGGCGGGGGCTTGTGGGTAGCTTGGAGGGGGATGATGTCTGGAGACGCTGTCGTGCGATCCAATCTCGGGGCAGTTTGTCATTCGCGCATGCAAAGGACGACAGCGAGGATGGTCCATGCAATTTTTCTAAAAATATAATAATAATAATTACTACTAATCATTGCATTTCTACTTGCTATGACTCCCTCCCTAACTAGCACGGCCTCGGACCCTCTGGTCCCGGCTACGTGATCCTGCCCCGCTTCCTCTCCCCGCCTTCCCCCCCCCCTCTTCCCTGCCTGACCGGCGCCTCTGCCGAGACATGCGCCAAGAAGCCTCAGGACTCTTTCAGGCGGGCGTTTTCTACCCGTCCTTTGCCTACCGAGGGGACGAACGCCTGGAGAAGAAGAACGTGTGGAATTTCGAGCTGGACGGTAAGGGAAAGCCATTGTCGGTCTGGGCTCTCCCTGCCTCCCTCCCTGCTGGCACCACCTTGGTCTTTGCAGTCCTGCCAGTCACGCCAGCCTCCCTCTTTCCTTCCCTACCTCCCTCTCTCCCTCCCTCCCTCCCTCCCTCCTTCCCTCAGGCCACGAATGGGACTACGCGCCTTCCCTCCTCATGTATACTCGTGAAATCCTCCTACATCTTCCTCCCCTCCTCAACAGCCTCTCCCTTCCCTTGCCCGTCCCTCCCTCCCGCCCTCTCTCCCGCCCTCCCTCCCTCCTTCGCCTCAGCCCGCGGGGCTATGCCAACAAGATCGCCGTCAGTACTGGGGGAGGCTCTCATTTCTTGCGGCACACCGACAATAACAACGGGGACTCGAGGAAGGTACGCGAAGGAGGGAGGAAGGGGCGGAGGAGCTTGAGGGTCCGGGAAGAGGAAGGTATATGAAGGAGGGAGAAGAAAAAGGTCATGATGGAGGAGAGGGTGGAGGAGAGGGGCAGGGAAAGGAAATGAAAGGATTGCTAGACTTGCGGTTTCATCGTTTCAATGGATGCGATCATGAGTGGCTTATACCTCCCCCAGGCCGAAGAGTACTTGTTCAAGAACGATCGGGCCTCTCCGCTCCTTTTTTCCCCCCTCACAATCCCATTCTTTCCCCTCTTTGCAAGGTGACCCTCGTATACTACCTTAATCCAGAATGGCCGTCCGGGAATGGCGGACAGCTGCGGCTTTATTCTCGAAGTGGGGCATACGGACAAGAGGAAGGCTTCAAGAATACAAGCAGGGGGGAAGGAACGGAGGTGGACGGAGGAGAGGAAGGCCATGTTGACGTATGGCCGGAGGGAGATACCCTTGTCATGTTTTTGAGCGAGGAGCTAGAGCATGAGGTGCTTCCAAACTGGAGCGAGGAGGAGAAGGATCATCGATGGACATACACACTGTGGCTAGTAGAAGAGGGAGGCTGTGAAGGGGAGTCTTGAGAGTTCTTTGTACAACAAAAAGTAAAGACATGGAATGCAATCGAAATTGTGCAGTCTATCAATGTGCTCTTATGTTTGAGACTTCACAGACACGTCACGGATCCATGGATTTTAAAACTCAAGCTCTGGCAACGATATTTCAGGCAATGTCGCCCGTATCCTTTCCCTCTTTCTTCTTTTGACATCATAACTCTGTTCTGATTGTCATACTGTAAACCACTGACGCAATCTACAAAGTATGATGAGACAACAAACAAATTTATGTCGCAAGATCACGTCACGAATCACTTCAGCAAAACCTACACAGAAAGAACCAATCGTTCAATCCCCGCATTATTTGGAAAAACGGAGAAACGCATACAGAGAAATGTCCCCAACCTCCACTTCTATGGGCGCAAGCTTGGAAGGATGTGCCTTTACGCTTCTCGAGATGCCTTTATGCTTCTCGATATTCCTTTGGGTGTCGCACAGACGGCTGCTCGAAGGTTGAGGAATTCAACGGTCGATGGCGTTAAAAAGTGAAACGGTTTCCCTTACACTACACTAAGTCGCGGCTGTAAGCAAAGTATCCCACAGCATTCCCTGCGACATGCATCGAATGAAAGGATTAGAATAACACTTTACAGCTCGAAGATGAAAGTTGCACGCGATTCAGAAACCTTTCGACCCTGTGTGTGTATAGTGATGTATTAACCCTTGTGATGTCAAAATGCATGGGCCTTCTTCATGTATGCCGCAATACAGAGGAACGTGCAGCACATTGTAGACTGTGTAAAGCTATTACGCTTTTTGTCCTCACTCAACAGCTTTTCCTACCGATCCTGTTACAGAGATAATTGGGGACATGGCTTCATACCGTCGTAACCCAAAGGCGTGGCCCATTTTCAGAATAAAGCAGCGCAAAAACCTTTACTTTGGCATCAGCTGTGCGGTCGTTCTTTGGTTGATTCGACAACCGCATTACAGGCTGGAAGACATCTCCACTTCGACGGCGCTTTTTTCTTCAACGTGTGGTGTAAAGCTCGCGTCGGAATGTGGGCAAAGCCGATCTAGTGCCGCAGAGAAATTCGCAAACATTTACCGCTACAAGAAATGGGGATCTTCTCCCCATTCGCACACACTGAGTGGATCAGGTAGTACAATACAAGGTGCTTTTGAGACAATAATAAATCTGGGCCCGAAACTCCGCGAACTCAACATCACAGCCATTGCAGACGTCCCTTCTGGAGACTGTGGTTGGCAATTTGCCTTACCCGAGATCAACGCTGCCGAGATCTATTTTGGAGGAGATATAACTCCGCACGTCGCTGAAAATAATGCACTCCAATACCGTAATCATTATAATAAGGTGTTCGCTCATTGGGATGTGGTCACATGCCCGATTCCGCATTGGTACACCACCTGTGACCCAACCATCAGGCCCTTCGACTTGGTCATCATGCGAGACGTCATCCAACATATGCTCCGGAACAACTCGATGAAGGCGATCAAATCGGTGGTGATCGACTCCGGTGCGAAGTATTTAGCAGTCACATCCTTTTCGTCTCTGCCATGCGAAGGTGAAAGTAGCAATGCCATGACCTCTGACGGTGGATTCGTTAAATACAATTTACATTGTCCTCCTTGGAATCTTCCGGAGCCATTTTTCCACTTCCAAAGTCACGTGCATTTTCCTGTAGAGGAGGATTCCATGGAGCTTTACCTGATGGCAGACTTGGTGTCCGTCGTATCGACGTGGCCCCATGCTTCCCTGACACGGCAATGAAGCTCAGCCTGGAATACCCTCCCCTGTGGCACTTCTCTTCTCCCCGTGAGACAGAACCTTGTAGCCTGGTAGGCGGCATCGGATTATTGAGTGTGCTCATGGTTATCTGGTAGAGATATTGGATAGCATAAAATTCAAACATGAATGAAGGGAGGAGACAATTATCTTTCAGGCGTATTTTTGTCTCCCTTTATCCGGCTCACGTACTTTTTTATCTTGCATCCTCTGCAATTTACTTCCGTTTTGCGTCACTTCATATTTATTTTTGGAAGTGCTGGCTGGTTGTGGTCTGTGTTCTTCAATACGTATCCTGTAGCATATCAAGGAAATCACACTTTGACACCTCAAATGCCATCTGATCATGCTTCCTAATTACCTTTCTAGCCCTTTCTAGTCTTTCGTTATCCCCTATGACCTGCAAAAGCTCGAAGTTAATACCTCTCATCATTATTTGCATTAATAATTAATTTCGGAAAGGATGTCACATACTTTGGCAAACTTTCTAAGAAAACAAGATCAGGGAAAAGGCGTCATTTCTGGGAGGCCTAGCTATATATGACCAGAATCCTGACACTTGCCCATTCTCTGGCCTTCATTGTCACAGCGCTTTTCAACCCCCTGTATCACTTCTACATTTTTTCTAGGTATCCGATTTGACACTGAATGAACAGGCGCTGTAATTTCTTACGTCATTGAATTTAATTCCTTTGTCAATATCTTTTGACCATGGTAGCTGGAAGCAAGCCAAGAAAAATGAGTGCTGGACGGGCTCTACAGGTGGACCACAGGTCAGATCCTAGGGGAACCAAATGAGTGAGCAAGCCACAGATCACATTAATATATTCTATTATTAGCAGAGTATCTTGCTTTGATATCCTTGGATAGCTGTTGATAGTTCTGATCTCAGTTGCTGCTCGAAAAAGTGAGATTATCAGAATGGACTGGTCATGTGAGGAGCAACATCAATTTTGCTTTTTCGAATTGAAAGAAATTGTCAGTGCCTCAATCCCTGGATTATGACTACAACGGTCATAGAGAATAGAGTGATGCGAGTATATCAATGTATTTGGTGAGATCATCTTGACTTTTTTTCGAAATAAATGACGCTAAGCCCAGCCATAGTCCTGATCCTACTTGAAGCTAGAAGCAAAATGCCTGGATTTCATGAGATGAGAAGTGCCGAACTATATTCTCGTTGAAGAGTAAGAGTTTCATTATCTGCAAGCGTGGAAAACACGATAAACCCAGTTCCTTTATGAGCTATTTGCGACCCTACCAGTGTGCTCTCTACTCTCACCGTCTTTTTCTTCGTTCAACAAGGCGTCAAAACCTCATATGTTGCCGAACTCTGGGGGCACATATCCTCTCACACTGCTCGGCTCCCTTGATCAACGCCCCCTCCATCTTCTTCATCATTTTATCCGTGGGTTGTCGCCACTTTAGTATACTCAGCATAGGTTATGGGTGCAAGACTTCCATTCTGGTCGCTTTTTGGAACCATGTTTTAGGCCGTAAACCTTTGAAAAGTTCGAAGGATAGGGGCACTCTATCCTCCCCTTCCTCGTTTGCTTGCTCCCCCCCCTCCCTCTCGGATCCACGCCTTCGCTATCAGGGAAAATCTCACTTCCGCCTGTCCTCTTTTTTCTGGCCTGCCTTTCGCTCCTCCCCCCCTCCATGCCTGATGCATCGTCGGCGACCATCGCCCTCACTTTGTCTCTCCTGTTGCACACACGCATGTAAGCTCCTGGGCGGAGGCGTGTTACCGAGAGCAGGTAGTGGTGATGGTCCGCAGGAATCGTGACGAAGACATGCGAAATCAGGATAGCGTCTGTGAGTTTAGACGACTAGAGCACTGTAATGGTAAGAAGAGGAAAAAGGATGGCTGGAGGTCTGAACCTAGGTGGGGTGACACAAGGCGGTTTGATTAAGGAAGCAGCCCGTGTGTACGCGACCCCCAAGCTTCTTAGTCGTACGCTACCTTAATATTTCGAATAAAATTTCTCAAAATCATTCTTTTCTAGAGGGCTGTAACTTTTGCCTATTCGAGGCATCACAATAAATGAGGACTGCCAAAACGAGCATGTATGGGATGGTATTAGTACATGTCGACGGACAGAAGAAAAGGGAATGGCGTCAAAGCCATGGAATGTACGCTCTTCAATACGAAGGCTCTGCTAATTTATGGCCATTGCCATACACGGGAAGGAGGCGGATGACGAAAGAGAAAGTCGAGCAGCAGACCGGAGGCCGAGGAGAGGACGTTACAGGCGGCGAGATGCGAGGTATACTAAAAAGCCTCCGTGTAGGACGGCACACAGGAGGCCGTAGGGGACGTAGCATAAATTTTTTTGGTCTGTTCTGGAGGATCGATGCAAAAGAAAGGAGTATACATTTAAAGATGCAAAATCGGTGCGAAAAGGAGGTTTTGCGTTCCATACAAGGGGAACCTCCTCCCTCTACACTTTAGTGTCGCTTCATGCATTGATCAAGCATTTGACCGACTTAAAAAATGTAACAAGATATGACTTCGAAATAGTGTCAGGCCCATATGGTAGGACCAGAACTTTGTCAACGCATATCATCGAAAACGCTCTTGTCTCCTTTTTGTGAAGTTTCAACGACACAAGCTTGCGTGATGTCTGCAAACTGCTTTTTTCTCAAAACTCGCCGACTGTGCTCCTCTATGCTTATGCACATGAATAGCAGAAGGGTTTTAGCTGCTCCTTTGGCCACACCCATCGCCTCGAAGACCCAAGAAGGCATCATCATTACCATGCCTTGGCAGGACAGCACGTTTTGATCTACACTACCAATGCCCCTTTGAAGGTAGCTGTACTTCCGAGCTCTTCCTCGTTGATCGAATTGGGCAAAAGATATGTGGGCTGCTGGAAGAGGGTGTTTAAAAGAAATAAAGAGAAGAAAACTATAAAAGGGCTTTGGTAGAGGGGAATTCCGAGAGACTACGGCATTGGAAACAGTCAGAGGCACGCATTTCATGTCGATGCCGTTGTCACTTATTGCGAAGCTTGAAATACTCATCAAGCACGCCATGAGTCCCCCATAGCTCTCGCAAACGAAGCAAATGACATGCTCCGCAAAAGTCATTGTAGACAAAAAGCAGCCATGAATATGAAGTTTACAGCGCCCCCCTTTTCCTTTTCACTCGATAGCTTAAGCGTCGAGTGGGTGAACGGCACTTCCACGGATATTCCTTTCACTCGTTCTGCTCTCTTTGGTGATGTTATCGCTGCCTTTCTCCCCAAACAATTGTGGATTGAGGACTCGGCGGTAACTCTTTTGGGTTTTCTTCAAACCTGAGACACACATTCGCGACGTTCTCAATCAAGCCTGTCGACTAGTATCCTCTACGATTTTGATCTCATTTGAACAGCACCCTTACGACAAGGCACCCCATACGCAGTCAGTCATTTATCTGGGGTTGTAAGTATTTTCTATCCCCTTTCAAATTTAAAAAAACATGTTACTCATACCACCCTGGGTAATGAGTATGCGGCATCTGCATATCTCCGCGATATCTTACAGAGAAGTTGTCCAGCATCTTTGTTTTCACATGCGAAAATAAAAGGGCTACGACTTATGCTGTACTACAGAGGAATATACACATGCGTATGACGCTGAGCTCTGAATATGCTGTTGGGCTCAAGACTCCTCTGGTCAAAGTTTGAGAAGTGAGGGCAAGAATGTTGAATATTCGAGAAATCGGACCGTGGCAAAAGCTACCACTCGGTTACTTTTTGAATATTTCTCGTGACTTCTTACATCTCTCCCTAAAATATTGACTTACCACATATAATGTGATGTTTGTGGGACTGGGATATTGCAGATTTCAAGATGCTTCATTGCCTTTTTTTCCGGGGAGCCCCCGCGTTCCATGCTCTTGCCCGATATGTCCCGAGAAGAGGTTCTGAGAGAGCATTTTCGGCATGACAGGTTCTTTGTTCAGAAGTTATGCATCCTTTTTGATCATTCGAGTGATCAAAAAGCTTCAATAGCCTGAGAAATCGGTATCGAAGTAACAAGAGTTTAGATGAAGTGCAACTGCCTCGACGTGCTCGTACTGACTGCCCCTGAAGTAATATGGGATTCAATGATGGGATTGAACACCTTCAAGATGCGACTAATACCTTCGTGGTGCGAATTTACACTTTGAATGAGTAGCTTATACTAGAATGGCTGCAAATAGAGCCCATTCATCATTCTAGTATTCGAATTTTGCAAAAACATTCTGACTAATTAAACCCTTTATCACTTGTCGCACTACTACGCAATTTATCTGCTTGTCCATGGTTTAATAGTCTCCTATCATAATTGAGTTTAGAAACTCCTTGACAGACTTCCAAGACCTTTCTGCTTACAAGAAATGTCAATGACATGCTGAAAAACACAGAGAGCGCGGAATGTCGAGCTATTTACCTAATTTGCCCTAAAACTCTTTCCAGTCTTCGTTCTATACCAGAGAGCCTCACCTTCAGGCAGCAACATAAAGACTAAGCCTTCAGATTTTGCGAATGCAGCTTGTCTTAGGGATTCTGTATCTTCTCTTCTTGATGTTGGCCAGCATTCCAAAGTCGTCTGGCCAACATTGCCCGCAATTTTCGCTGAGCGCAAAGGTGCATCCAAAGAGCAAGCGCGGTATCTTGGCTGGGAAACGTAATGTCAAGGTATCTGTCAAGCTTCGCAGCATCAATCCTGTGGCTGACGTGGAATTTAAACTAACACTACCCGATGGATTGACTTTGAAGCGGACAGCGACTCGCCCGTCATCCAAACCTCACAAGCGGCCCGAGATTGTAAAAAATTTCGACAGGACGACGGCCATCCACTGGCGTGGAGTTAATCTCACCAAACATCGAAAGCAACGCTTTCTGGCCAAGGCTAGTGTTGATACGTGTGCCCCTGCAATGCTAGCAGTCGACGCTGTGGCGTACCTTGTCAACACGACTGATGCATACTGTCTGACACCATTATCAACCCCAGCAGAAATTCGGGTGCGACACCTAAAATCGAAAAAGAGAACTATATGCGCGCTAACTTCAGTCCCAATTATTTTTTCCACGCAACCCGCGACTACGGCGGCTCCAAGCACCATTTATGTTATCATACCTCCGATCACGTGGCCTACAGCGACTCCTGCCATGTTGCCTACCATACCTCTTACCACAGAGCCTACAGTGACTCCTACATTATTGCCAACACCGGCAACTACTGACGCGAATATAAGGATGACATGATGATGCTAAGGGAGCATGAGATCGGCGATAGGAGGTTAAGCGAGCCATCTTACAGTGTTGCACCTATATCCTTTATGGATCCAACAGTCTGTATCACGATGTGCTGTTCGCTACTGTATCATGTCATGGTTTGCGTCCACCTAATCATTTATATGTTATATTATTGTACGACAACAGGACTGGCGTCGACCAGTGTCTTTGGTTGTCTTTGGTTGTCGGTCGTATTGGTTATCTTAGTACACGATTCTTGGGTGAATCGATTGGTCTACATTCTCAGGGAGAATAGTAATTGTACTGAAGAATCAACTAGATATTGGGTTATCCACAGGGGTTTGGTTTGTTTATTCGCATCAGGTTATGGGCCCTAATTGACCTAACCTTTGAGTTGAATAAAGACACTGATCGACGACCTATTTCTGGTGCAATTGGATTTGCGGAAATAGAGGTCTGGACGTATCTGAATCTCGCTGGTGCAACTGGATTTGCAGAGATTCGGGACTGCTTTAATTAGTAATTGGTTACTAGATTAAAGACAGTATTTGATTTGATCTGGAGGCTGAATATTGAGCTGGCCAGGATCACAACCTCAAATTCATGGGTGATATGGATGACTATAGAATGGCAATCTTCAGTGGAAGATTGGAGGATTGGGACGCGTGGAAACGCGACGTTGAAAGCTTCATTGGTGCCAAGGACCCAGAGATGGCAGATATCATCGTGGGATTAATCAAGAAGCCAATCTCATTGGATGAGCTATCATCATACAAGGAGAAGAATGCCAAGGGCTACTTCACGCTTAAGAAGTACCTGAGAGGAGCGGCAGCAAACCTTATCGAAAAATTCCGTTTGGATAAGGATGGAGCTGGCGCGTTTAAAGCTCTCACTGACAAATATGAATTTAGAGGAGAAACTCAAAAGGCATTACTCATGTCTGAATTTAGTCATCTCAAGTTTGATGAAAATGGTGACCCTAGTGAAACTTTCGAAGCAGCTGAGGAGCTAGCTAGAAAAGTTAAGAATCGATTTGGTATGATAGTCGATGAATCTATGCTACTGACTCACCTAATTAACAAAATTCCATCGGCATATGGAATTGTGAAAGTGAGTCTGGAAACCCAAGATTCGATGACGTATGCTAATTTGAAGTCAAAAATGACCTATCATTTTGTGACTAATATAGCTAACAAGGTCAAGGATGACCAGTGCTTAGCAATTAGCTTTGAGGGATACTGCAATTGGTGCGGTAAATACGGGCATAAGGAAATTGAATGCCTCGTAAGGAAAAATGGTGGAGGCCGAGCGGGACCTAATAATAATGGAAACAAATTGGGCCGGTATGAGTGTGTACCTGGCAACCCCTACAATGGCCCTGGCAAAGGCGGGCGCATTACTTACGAACGGGGAAATGGAGGCCGTGGAGGCCGTAATGGACGTGGTCGTGGCAAAGGATTGCACGGCGGAAATGTTGCCGATACTGTGGAAGTGCAGACCACTGGGGAAATGAATGCCCCAAGAATAAAACGGAGTACTCCTATACATGCTTGCTGACCACCAAGGATGTATCTGGAGACCTTAAACACAGACAAATGACTTCTGTTATGGTAGATAGCGGAGCTACATCCCACATGAAAAGAGATACTACAGAATTGATTAATGTCAGGCGACATTA